AGATCAAAACAGACTTCACTGTAAAGTAATTATGTACACTTAATCAAGCAAATGGACAAAAAGGAAATCAATCGTGTGCTACGTAAACTGTTGAACATTGCTTCAGATGGCCGAGCCCCAAAAGTCCGAATTAGAACCTTTATCGCAAAACGAATGAGCAAAGTAGTGTGAGGTTGTTGTTTGATCTTTGATAGATAAATATTAGCCTATAGACACGCTTAAGCTGCTCTTAGAGCACAAGAAGAATTTTAGATATAGTGCGTCGTATCTCAACTATCTGATTGTCACATTGATAAACTAATTATCAGCTTTTTTTTTTATCGGGTCATAATCTGTACATTCAGATTTATGCACTCGCTAAGTACCTAGACAATAAGTAGGTACGTACTGTACTTTCTCTAGACATTGCTTGGCTATAGCCGGCAACTCCTTCCAGTGCATTCAGTAGAACCTCTCTACGTCACGTTTCGAGCCCAGACCACCTCTCATGTATTGAAGTTTCGTCGACAAGCGTTTTACCTCCATACCAACACGTAGCACCTGCGTATTTGCGTAATACCTTACAGGCAATGAACAGAAGCTTTTAAATGGAGTCAGATTCTTTATGTTCTATGTTTATGGTCTTATTAGTCGTAACGGCATAGGCCCATTAGATGACTATTCACGGCTTAAAGGGCTTAACGTTATCGAATACGTACCCAATGCAAATTTTCGAGGAGAACGGCATTTGCTAAAAACGCAGTTGCACTGACTACCTAAATCGACGAAAGAAGCGACGTATCGCCGGCGACTTAGGTAGACTTTCTCAGATCTATGTGGAATTAAAGTCGAGTTTTTTACTGGGCGATATAGACTTCTCGAAATGAACATACAAGGTCATGACTCACCCAATTCTTCCCATTTTACTCGTTTACCAAAAAAAAAAAAGTAAGAATACCATTTAACAACAAGATTGATATATATCCATTACCTCAATCAGGTTATTTTGAGTAACTCTTGTCACTTAGTAACTTAAAAAGATCGACGAAGTTATATAATCGCTATATATTAGAAAAAAGCCAAATACTCCTTCCATTAGGTAGACCTATTCCAAGCCTGCAAAATGTTAGCCTAATACTTTCTCTTAACATGTTAATATTTCCGAAATAATATTAAGTCCTTATTTGGTATTTGTGGCTTAAGCTGACAATTTTGGTTTCCCAATGCATTCACACACAGTAGAGGTTCTTCTTTTCTGTTATGGGGCTATTCTGGAATTTTTACAATGAATTCATAATAAAAAAGAATGTTTCAAACTTTTACGTCTAGTCCTACTAAAAGACATTGCTTCAGACGGCTGGCTTGTTTTCATCAGCAGACATCGAAACGTTTCTACGCCCAACTCCAAACGGGGACCCCACTCGTGCACAGAAGCTTAGTAAGCAGACCCAGCACCAGCACGGTTACTTACAAGGCCACCAAATTTACTCTCCTGACACCTCTGTCAGTTACTCCAGAGAGTCCCGCGGCTCCCGTACGACACAATCAACTATGTTTGCTTGCGAAAAACTAGCATTCTGGATGCACCTTCGGAAACACTTTCGATGGACATGGCAGTATCTCGTACCGTTGCCTTGGCGACACGGCTATCATGTACTGTAGATTGAAAAATTGTCCCCGTTAAGTCCTACAGGATGCTTACCACGCCCTCTCGTCACAACCATGCATGATTAATAGGCCAATCAAGCCAATTTTTGCCAAGGTTAGCAAAAAAACGACATGAGCTTTCTTCGAGCACGTCCATCCCGATAAGCTAATATCGGCAAATGATCCTAGAAAGTAAAGTATATTGAGGATAAGCATGTATGCAGTCATAAATCATTAGCTGCCGATTCTTGCTATGTATCAACTCCTATTCAAAGGTTCCAAGAACGACCGATTTCTTAAAAAAAAATTAATAATGAACTGTAACACTGGTAAACGACGTTTTAACACCATTGCTTGAATAAATAAAACTAAGTCAATCAGCTTTTGGGTACGAGATATGCCAGGCTGGATTGTTAGGCCCATCTTTAACCTGACCAACGTCAAATTACCCTCTTCTTTCTCAACGATTCTCTGTATATAATACACATATTTGACTTCAGTTATCTTTTATTTTATAAACCGTTTAATAATGCAGTAATTTACCAATGATCACAGGAATAGTGCCAAACCTTAGAGAAGCCCAAGGCACAATTAACGAGAATGCAGCCACGATGTCAACCGTAGACACTCCAAACCGAAAACAACGCCATCAGAAGCGATTATTTTTTCGATGTTTTTTTTTCCACAGGTAAGCACTGAGATTTCTGGCATAAATATAATTTTTTAAAACTAGACGAATTTGGCAACACAGGCCATTTGTCACATAAGACGGTCGCTGTTTTTACCATTTTTCATGGCCTTGTTGTGGAAGGTTGTGCTCGTTATAAGCATGCAGATAGAATATTATCTTTACAAAAGGAATTCCTGAAAACCTCATGTCCAGACACCCTAGAAGTAAAATCATATTCTATTTTCCTTATTAGTGGTTCGGTTAATAGTTGTTTTTACTAGAATTTTAGTGAAAATATATTAAAGTATATCTGCATAAATACATGCAGCTATCTATAAACGCCAACGAAGAATAATTAGAGCGGCATAATTCTTAGCTGACTTTAGATCTTTTGTAGAGAGGCAGACTAATCGAAGATTCATTCCGGAATTGGATAGACCATATATATTGCCCTTTTCATAGGTTTATTGTCAATAGTGAGCCCAGTAAGTGTAATAAATTTATGCAAGCCTATTGTGCGTTGGGAATATTACTTTAGAGAATGTGATGCTGAAGAGTGGTCTTCCATTACTGTCCAGTGTTACTTGAATAGGAACACCGCAATCACGAAATTAGGAAAAACGTTGCCAATGGGAATAATTGCTCACTGTTAGAAATGTTTTACTTAAAATAAATCTAAGTATCTGAATGTAGGTTTATTATTATTATTACCCATTTCTTATAATTTTCTTCATTTTCTGCACAATACGATGCCTAAGTTTTTTTTTATTCATCCAATAAGCTAAACGTACCGTTTTACCGTGTGAGAGTATACCATTCAACTAACGGCATATAAGTGTATTCACAAACATGTAGTAACGTACTCTACGAAAATAATGTTCGAGAAACACGTAGTCTGTGTTCTCTGTGTCAAACATTGTCTCATAATCACCTATATATTATCTCCAATATAATACTCTCCACTTTAGAGAAATATTTTGCATTAGGATTAGTGGAACGAGTTTTCCCCACTATATCCCTTCTTTTCTTCCGATCTGGCTTTTGCTTGTTCGCTTACCTTCACCTTATTGCTGAGCGCAGTGTTTTCTTCTACTAAGCTATTTAGAAAATCAACGCGTAAACATCCTACACGTTTGAAATGGGTAACTCAAGTAAAAGACCCTAAAAATCATGTAACATCGTGCTAATTATGCAAATCCCCGGTTCCCTATACTCAGTTGCCGCCAACCTTTTCAAATCAACCTGTTACTTACTTCGAATTTCCAAACCCAGGTCAGCACATACCTTTAGGTTTAACAGATAGGCACGCTATTATTGAACCGTCACGGGGACGTCATCTACTTCAACAGCCTCTAACCGCGAACCATCACAGCAGATATCGCTTGGTTCTAGATCGATTTTGAATAATGGCGCGTTTTCTCAGCGCCAATTTATGCCCGGCCCCCGATCCCATTCACGGCACAGTTTGTTATTAGCGTGTGCAGTGTTGTTGTTGACGGGCAGACGCCATAGCTACACACCACCATTATATAGTGTTATAATGTTTCTACACTAGGGTCGTTATGATCGAGCTGCGAGGGGCCCTTTTCGTTGCTGCTGTGTTAACGAACGACCGCCAGCGGCTGACGGTGATCAACATACATCCCAGGAAAGCGCAGCCCGTCGAAATTGCAGCCAGCCATCCGTAAACACATCCACTCTTCGGGTTGGCTGGCTGACTCGCTGGTTTGGCTGCGGCGACTATTCCCGCCTGCTGCCTCTGCATGCTGCGACGATGAGCTACTACGCTTCTGGTTAGAGAAGCAACGGACGAATAATATAGAAATCCGCTACAATAGACACCATAGGAAAACAGACGAAGTGGTGCCAAACGCAAAGTACGTCTCATCGAGTTGCTGAGACGACAAGAGTCTTAAAGCTGCATTCATCGGCCTATCGACAGGCCACATCTTTCTTTTTTCTCTAGAAGGAGACCGCAGCCGTTTCAGGCACGAGTAACATGGATCGTCGTGGATATCTATAGCGTTGCGGCAACGAGAAAGAGGTAGGCAAAAACTTCCATCTGTAAGTCTGCTTGCCTTCTGCGAACATGGTTGATTCGACTTGCTTACTCTACTGTGCTGGTGAATCAGTTTAGTTTGTTGAACAAATCGTTCGGTTTATTTTCTTGTCCTATGGACGGGTAGCTGCATTCGTATGGAAGAAATCTCACTCGAGAATCATACTGAACGATGCGATGAGCTGAGCTCTCAATGAATTGCCCTATGGCTTGCGTGTGTGCGCAGGGGCTGTATATATGTGTGATGTTATTTTGTTCGCGATGCTGCCATTGCAGTTGCGACTATTGTAAGTCCGTAGGAAAGTAAACCGTGGCGCTATCGTTGTTATTACCTTACATCTACCCCGCAGATTTTAAGGGTTGCCTACCGATCTGCTTACCTGTTTTTCTGCGGTGTGAGTTGAACCTGATTGCAGGGCTCTTGCCTTGATCGTAGAGCAAGGGCAAAAACAGCCGTAAATTTATCATTTTAGCGCTGCTTCCTCGTCGAACTCTGCCACTGCACAGAATTTAACAGTAGAGGTACTACCGCTTGTAGCACCACTATCCAAACTGAATATTCGTTTAGCTGATTTACCGCACGTGTGCCGCGTGTTGTGGTCTCGCTTTGTTGGGTTTTCTTATTGTTGGTGGGTCGGCTAGTCAATTTATCAGTGTTCATCTGCAGTGCTGTATAAATGTTGATGTAAGTGTACTAGAAAAAGCAGCTACTGCTTCTAATGCACGCATCTGTTCGCGTAATCGCGACGTCGATGGACGCATGGCAAGTTAATACGACTAATTAAGAAACGGCAAGCGGCAACGATTTGCAATAGGCCCGTTTCTACAAAAGAAGAGGCAAGCTAGTGTATCACAAAATCAACCACTAATTGTGTATCATCATTCCAGGACTATGTAGCATCGAACGTGTACATGCAAGCACGTCGTGGCGACAGTACTAAACTCGGTTGGGGTTGTAGAATTAAGACCATTTGAGATCATCATGATCGAAGATGGCAGTGGGCCGTTCTGTCCGCAATAGTGAACGTCGTTGAGTGAGTGTCCGTGTGAAATGTGAACTGACGACGCGCCGAGTTTTCATTAGTTGCCGCCGCAGCGTCCTTGCCCCCTGCCATATTTGTGTGCAATATGGATAGTGGTGATCAGGGCAAGCTTACGAACGTTCTCAGTTTTATGCCAGAGCCGTTATTGCAGGTGCGCTAACACCTGCCCTTGCGCTGTGGCTGGTGGCGGTGAACGATTTGAGTGCGTGTTTCTGTAGGCGGCGTCCGACGACCATGTCGGTATACCACGACGAAATCGAAATTGAAGACTTCGAATACGACGAGGAAACTGAGTCCTACTACTATCCGTGTCCTTGCGGGGATCGTTTTGTCGTTACGAAGCTTGACCTCCAGGTAGGTTCAAGAAAAGCCATAGTTGCATCGTTTATACATTGAATAGATCGGTGATAAAGATTACTACGTTAACTCATTTATCGAAAAACAGCCGTAGATGTGGATAGGATGAAAAGATGCGTCTGTTTACATAATATACCACATGTTACATGCTAGCTGAACACTTACTAGACAACACAATACCGCTAGGATTCCATCCGGCGTCAATATTGCTATTATCAGAAAGTATCTTGACCACCTAGCTAATTAGCTGGCTAGAGGGGTTAGATAACAGCGGCAAAAAACCTCGTTGCGGCTAGTGAATGAGGAGATGAACGCCATTTGTAGGCGATTCGTTAAACAACTTATTATTACATATTGATTCCATCACGTCTACCGCCAGCACTGCGGCGGTCGCCATCGCTACATTAACCGTAAGTGTGGTTAGTAGCAACAATCAAACTGTTCCTGATGTACGCGTATCCTCATGTATATATAGACTTGCGCCACACTGGACGATGGTAGACCCTCGGCTTAGTGCGCTAGTCAGAGCTAGCAAACTAAAAAAATTGACGAATTATATTAGCAGGGACGGCAACAGAGAGTCTCAAAGCGAACATGATGTAAATCGTCGTAGTACTTAGTTTAGTAGAGCTTAGCTTGCGCCTGAAGACTACGTTAGGCAGCGATAGTGTCCGCTGTTGCTTCAACAGCAGGCCAACGCATCAAATGATATTGAATATAGCTCTGTTAATGCCGGCAACGCGCAAAAGGGCCTCAAGGTAAAAATCTCTTGAATTATGTCAAACATGATGGCAATAACTGTATCAATGATGGCGCTAGCACTGTTAGTGTATTCTGGTACACTTATTATTTTTGTCGGTATTAAATATTGGATCATGCAGCAATTATTGCTGTTAATAATGTTATTCATTATTAGTACGAACAGATGTTATCTGATCGTCTGTTTGATTTGGCTAAAGGCGTATTTTTTTGAAAACTTGAAAGTTTTCATGCTCATTTGACAGTAATTCGTGTAACCGTTTCTCTGTGGGATCTACAGAGTTGCATGAACGGTATGACTAATAATTAGAATATTTTTACCTGTACGAGATCTCGGTTCGTTTTCTGTTACCGAGAATGCTGTTATCGTGTTGCGTTGAAGGCTTTTGCCGGCTGACAGTCGACGAAATGGGGAAATCTACCCACTGTGTTTAACTTACACATGTTCTTGCATAACTATTGTGCCAGCAGGGCTGTTCTCGAATAACGCGTTTTGTCACTCACTTGGACACTATCGACACGATTTAAGAAGTACAGATCAGCAAACACAGTAATGAAGTACGGCCCAGCGTATTTACTTGTCGCGAATCTGCGACTACTGGAACGGCCGCATTCAGCAATAAACCTGACACTGCTGCATAGATAGTATAAAAGCTTTTCATCATATGTAAAACTGTTGCCTTATCCGAAAACAGCTTTTTTCTTCTTTGTTCTATTCTTAGCCCAGTGTAGCTGCTAAGACTTCATCAAAACAAATAAAGCGTCATTCTTCAGATTGAATTTGGACGGCTAAGTCTCTGTGCTCCACACTTACGGAAACTTTAAACCGCTACCATTGATTATATATATGGCTGTTTTTTTCACAGTAGCATAGCCAGACCAAGCACGATCTCTTGCTTGTTTTTCCTACACCTTTTATAGTAATCCCTTCGTTGTGATGTTACTATTATTGTTATGAATATTTTTTGTTGTTTCCTCGTTGCATCAACATTGTTCTCTAGGTATTCGGACAGTAAGCTATTACCACGTTAATAGCTTTCTTTTTCATCTATCGGTACATGATTATCTACTGGCCCCCGCAGCAGTGGACGCTTGAGGCCGGGTTCTGGCCTACGAGCCAGGTCGTATACTACGCATATACAAAAGAGAGCCGGCATTCTGCCTCTATTTTCGCTAACTGTGCTCGTAAACACCAGGTCAGTCTATCTGTGTCTACGAGTTATTGGTTTCCATTATAGTAGTAGTAGTTGAAGGCAAGAGGTAGAATACCAAAGAACCGCGCGTGCGACGAACGTGTCTATAAAGACTCCAGCAGATCGGCTGCACTCTCAACGAAATCCTGCTCTCTTAATCATCGGGCCAACAGCAACAATGGTGACACTGAATTATAAATATTCTGATTATTTCCTACGAGATCATGGGCTCCTTGACAAAGCCCTCTTCTCTGTTGGCCCTTTACGCTTTGCTTAACAAATACTTATGTTTACTTGGTATATACAGGTTTGCATATGTATGTGTACGTTTTTTTTGCTAGGTTTACCGCGGCCATGAATGATGTCATTCCTTTGTGTACGACGTCAAGGTTTAGACCGCTAATCTATAGTTTACTGCGACGGTTCTGCCCTCTGCGAAAGTTCTATACCGACTTCTATCGGTATTCCGTCCTCAGCTACATCCTGCCGCTGTCTAACGCAGATGCTTACCCCGTATGTTGACAGCAACGTCCTAAGTCACTACGTGGCCAGTCAGCATGACCTGGCCTTTGTCCGTAGTCGTCTCATTCTATTGAGTCCTAGTCGACACCAGCTAAGTTCCCAATACGCCTTACGTATGTGGAGAGGTTACGCTATGCTATTGGCTGACACGAAAGGTGGGCAATCAATTGCACACTCTTTAATTTTCTTTCTTTTTCTGTGTACGACCAAGCGTCGCTGGCGGCGCTATCGAACCAACCAAAGCAAACTCGTCGGCCGACTAGCCGTCGGCAGTAGCCTCGCATCAACACAACGTCACCTAACAAACCTAGTTTGACCCCGACGTCACCAGGCTGGCAGCTCATTAGGCCAGTAGTGCAAGCGGCCCGCTGGGCTGCTCTTTACTCTGGACGGCAGTCGCGCTTGTTGGCTTAAACGGCGCGAACGGATAGATGGCCACCATATAAACGCTATTGTATGGGCAAGTAGACGGATGAAGGGACCGCCGATTGGTTATGATATCGTTGACGATCATCGTAGTAATGTTTATTATAATGGCGGTCGCTGGCGCGAGCGAAGCACGGGCAACATATTGGAACGGACGAACGAAACAGGATGGAACGGTAGCAACTGGGCATAATTAACCCGGGGCGTCGATAATGGCCCGACATGGTCGCATCAAAAGAGATGGGGCCGGTTAGGCAAGCGGAAGTTAGCAAACGAAGCTTGGAGATCGGCTCGAGCGGTTTTGTCATGTCCGTGGGTGTTGCTAGTCGCTGTGGTTGTTTGCGGAGTGCTCGATCGACTCGCGTAATTACCACGTCAAGGGCCATAAGGCGCTAGTTTTTTCGCCTATCTCGCATTCGTTTGTCGCGTTGGTGGGGGCAGCTGCGTATGTTTCCTAACAACGGACGTCGTATACTGCAAACTGCACACAGACTATTGTAAACTCATGCGAGTCCATAGTTATACGGTATACGAGCTATACGCTATGGTGACTGGTAAGTTAGACTAAAGGTTGTATGGCGGCAAGATTTCATGATGCTGTGAACAAACCAATCAACAAATAAACAAACGAACGAGCCAGCCAGCCAACCAGGCAGCCAAAAGGTTTGTTCAACATAGTAGGTCTTTAAATTATTGGTGTTGCTCTTTTGAACCAGCGATGCTAGCCTCCTACAACAGCGGTCTCAACCACCGAGACTGCGGAAGTGCCAGAAATCACTAAATACAGTAGCGACAGAGACGGCCCCTCTCATCGTCTACGCGTTGTTATTGCTGAATAGGCGTGCAGGAGCACCTGTAATTTATCTTGACAACCTATTCGTAACAATAGCTTAAAAGCAAAATGAGAATGATAACAATAAAATGATAATCACGTGCCTGCCGTGTCGTGGGTACCTCTCACAGGCCATAAGACAGTCTATAGCTGTTCGTCATCCTGAGTTTGTGGAGGTTAGCGCCTCAGTAACGAAAGTGAGGCATGTACTGCTACCCCGTTCAGAGCACAGCGGAAGTGTTCTTAGCGTTGAGAGGCCGTAGAATGATGTATTGAATGTAAACAGAGGTTCTTTTGTATATTTCGTGCTTTCATGAGGTCACTTTGCGAAAGAGGCTTATGTTTCATTGTACTCGGCCGCGCATCATTTGATTCATATCAAGTGCCGTATTTAGTTAGATATTACACGGCTCAGCCCTTTGGTGTGGCTCCAAATGCGTTTTGGTCGAAAGTAGTAGTTGTTCTAGTGTTGTTGGGAAAATCGATACAGATTGATTTACAGCCTTTTTTTGTCGTACTGTTTAATAATCTTGTCTGCAGATTATTTATTTATTGAAGGTGCGAGTCCGTTCTGACAGAAGTGCAGTGAACTAAATTTAACTGAAAAGTGGGTCCGTCTGTCTGCTATGCTTTAATGCGTTGTAGGGAATGTAACGAAAGAAATCATAATTTCTGTGTTTTTCTTTCACTGTTTTTTTAATAATAAAAAGTAGTAAAAATAGTCTAGCTATTTGTCGTATCGCGCTATCACTAATTGATTAAACTCGTTTTTTAATTGCACAAGAGGCACTGGAGGACGTTCGGAACAGTGTCGTTCTCATTCAAGGAAATAGTTATAGGTATTTAACACTTGACCGGGAGTTAAGTTTAATTAAAGATTAACTAATTTAATCGTGCGAGTAACTTGTTACACAGTTTTTTCGAAAGCGGAAAAATTGAACTATATCGCACTTAAATCCTGGCACGAGTTCATGATGATCTATGCGGCCTTGCTCTTGCTGTACTGCCTGTACATATAGCGGCATAGACTAAGAGCTAAAGTTGACGAATGGCTCCGTGAAAAAGCTTCGCAGCAGGCATCTGCGTTTAGTGCTGCAGGCTAAAAAATAATTTATAATAATGTGATTTCATTCGGTGGTGAAAAACTGCCCTGCTAACAGCAATCCAGCAGAGCGCCAGCTGTTGTAGTCAATACACTATCAGATTCTACCTACGAATTTTTGTCTAACTACATGGCGCTATTTTACGATCGAGTCTGAATTCGA